GAACAAAGCCGGATACGATTGGTGAGACTGCTTTGTGTTCTGTGTTATTTTAATAATTCTTTGTCACTGCAAGCTATTGATTCTGGGTTGCATGCAAGGACGGCAGCTTCCAGATATGTTTTAGCTAGTTCCTTTGTTTAGCCAATTTGGCAGCTCCCCGGGCGAGTCGAAATGAGCGGCAGTGCCAGGTTCGAACATGCCTGAGCCATCTGACCTTTCTCCACGGACATCCCTAAGCTATACAGTCTGTGTCACAATGGAGGTCGCAAACATCGTCGTGAAACAGGTTCTGCTTCTGTAGCGTTCCAGATCTTTAATGGCAAAAATCTGATGCATCTTTACTACTCAGATGTTATACCGAGTTCCTTCTAGGTGTTGCCCTGAACGATTCACCGATGGGACTCGCGGCGTACCTGCTGGAAAAGTTTTCCACATGGTCCAGTCCTGGTTGCGGTACCCTTTCAGAAATGAAGCTGTACGAACCGTTCAGTGAAGAAGATCTTATAACGAACGTCATGATCTACTGGACAACCGGTTGTATATCGTCTTCGATGCGGTTTTACAAAGAATTCTTTGTACATCCTTTGCTTGCCGATTTTTCAAGGTATGCACAGGCCTCGTTGAGTATCTGCACACTTCCGTTTTAGAAATCACGGGGTTTTCAGTAAATCTAATAATAACGAGATTTTGTTAGTATAAGGCAACATCGGCATAACTGTTTCTAGAAAAGTCATGTCACAGTTAAGACGAAGTCTAGGGTGTGAATATTGTTAGCGGATCAAAGTTTAGTGCTTTGCAACTATGCCTACTTCCTGACGTCTGAAAAAATAGAAAATATTAAATAAAGTTTGATATTAATATCGACGAAAGTAACGAAACACTTAATTAAAGTACGAGTACGGAATATTTTATTCGCATGTTGGTAGTCACACTGAAGCAGACGCATGAGGTTTGTTTATGCATTGAAACTTAGCTTTCAAATGTTATGACTCTAATTCATTCGCTAGATCATCTTTATGCGTTCTGTTTAAGTAAACCATTTTTAATGCAAATGAGTAAAAATTTACCCGCATGCACTGGATTCAGTAGTTAAATACATATTGGTTTAATCCCGATGTTTTCGATGTCAGAAACACATTGGCGTGCGCGTGAGGCAGATTTGTGCTTCATTTGACTCCTGGTACTATAAAATTTTCTGAACTACTTTTTGATTTGAAATCCAGTTAAGTTATCGATCAGTGATAACACTTGTTTGCTCAGCCGGCATTTTTGGCAATATATTCTAGGTCAGTCTAGGTGTGGCAAGGGTAGGAAAACAATGAAGATCATCATCTTCCATATATTAAACGGGCTGAGATTGTTTTAAGGAAGTAAGACCGTGAAGACGTCATGTTGAGCTAAGATGCTAAAGACCCTCTCGCTAGTATTTCGGTGGAGCTTGTAATGGACTTATCGAAGAACATTGACGATGAACATTACGTTGAAGAATAAAATAATTGTTTTCGATAAATAACATCCTTAAACTAATCTGGGTGTCTTACTGGGTTCAGTTATTTCGATTTCGACGGTCAGTTTATTGTCAATAGAAAGGAATCGTAATGCGATCTTCCTTGTTCTCTGCTCTGGTTGATTTGCTTACGAAAAGTTTGAAACAACTACATTACCCTAGGGGAACATAAAGATATACCAAATCTTTTTCAAAATGCGTGTAGCTGGTATCGTGGTTCTCTGCAAAAATGGGAATTAAATACCTTTTTTGGAACATATGGACATTTTCCAGGCGCCGTCTTTTTCACTATGGAGAAATAAGAGAATGGCAATATAAGCCTAATAGCATTTGTTGCAAAATATGATGTATCATGAACGCTTGCAACAAAAATTATCAGGAGAAAGAAAATTTGTAGCCGTTGGAATGTCATCTTTCATGGTGGGGCCATTTCTGGCGCCCATCTTTTCAAATTGTGCGCTGATCGCCATTTCCGTGCAACAGCCATGAGTACCTTTTTATTTCAATTGCAGAGTTGATTGCTGCCATATGGCAAGCATAATGAATGGCCTCCTGTTTCCTTCCCGCATGGTGGTGCTCACTGATTAGCCTCGGAAGGGAGAAAGGCGAGTAACTTGACCTGGACTCAAACTTTGAACCTCCCGGTTCTGAGTCTGACGCCATTCAGACGGATCAGCCCTGGTCTTCATTTAAGTATTGCTTCATGAAACGGTTCATTTTACGACAGTTTTGCCGTTTAAATTCGCACTGGCATCTGTATGCCATGTAATGCGTGTATTTTAGATATCCCGTGTCGGTACCGACGGCCGTAGCTGCCTTTCCAAATGATCCTTTGATAATGCCGGAGTACTTTCTCACTTCTAAGTACCAAAATCTGCAGTCTTACACACACATGCCGCGAGGCGGGCACTTTGCAGCGTTGGAAGAGCCGCGGTTGCT